ACGCTCACATACACGTAACTTGTAACTCACTGATGTTTGAAAATGAAAATAGTAAAAAGAAAATCAATACAACGTTGTTCAAGTGTTGATATGATTGCTTTAACTAAATCGTGAGTGTTTGTCAGTACAATACGAGAAAGAACGAACCAATTGAATCTGTGTGGGGTTGGAGATAAAGTGAGTAAAGAAATTTCCTTTCGGAAGCGGGACATCAATGGGGAAAAAATTAGCTTGGATTTCCATTTCCAATTCTGGAGCAAAAATTTGGAGGAAACAATGAGGGGGATTGTGCATAAGACGTTTAAAGGTTAGGGCATTCATATACTTTAAGTTACGTTTCAATTTCTTAATATTATTTTTTCTGTTTATTATAAAATTTAGAGTTTGAGGCTTAATTTCATCTTACTCATCAATATGTATATATAGTAATAGAAAGACAAGAAGGGTACGTTAGAGAGGTAGTGAAATATACATATTTTGGGAAAAAAGAAGAAGCCATATTGGTGCTAAGAGTTCTTTTGGTCAATATGTGCTAACACGAGTTCACTAGTGTCGTACCAGGGAACTCACTCTGCTGTTGCAGCATTTATATCTCATTTCTTCTTCCTGTCAAAATCATGCAGTGTTGAACATGACAGATCCTTAGGAACGCTACAAGTAAAACTTCACTACGATCGAACCATATAGCTACACATAATATATATATATATATATATATATGAAGTTCCTTGCAATAGCTACACTGTTTTAACATGTAAAGAATAAATGTAATATTTCTTGTCCTTAAAAATTACTGAAAAGCTGCTATATTTATAACAACAATTTATTTCGCATCCCTTTCATGTGAATGCTACTTGTCACTTCTTTATTTTGTTAGTTCTTTTAGACCAAACTAGTATTTTTGTTTTGAACTGAAAGAATAGAAGACTTTATAACGACGAAAACAAAGTTTCATAGAACATAATCTTCGATTATTTTTGTCTGATTCCTGTCATTAATTTCCATTGCTTCGTTGTAAATAAATATATATGCACCAATAACGGAAAAAATATAAAGCATTTTTTAAGTATATAACTTTAAGGCACAACTAATTTCTAAAAGTAGGGGAATATACAACTAGGGTCGCACCAGAATTATTTAGTGTAGCCTCATGATTAGACACAATTCTTGTACTGAAAAATTATTTAACTTCATTAATATCTGAATGCATCAAAACAGCTACAGTAATATGGTTAAATTTATACATTGGAATAGATGGTATAATATTTCAACATTATTCTTAATAAAATTATATTAATTTACAATTTTTCATAGTGAAATAGAAATTTATAATTAGATTTTTTTTTAACAAAATACAACTAAAATATTTCGATTAATGGAGAACGGACTTTCAGTAATGAGACTTTGATGTCAAATCAAACGTGTTTCATAATTTATATAGCATGAATCTCTGTTGCGTATTATTGCAATCTTATTTGTTAGGTTAAACTTGTAAGGTAGTGTTTGACATGTTCTTGATATGAAATAAAGTTGTATGTTTTTATTGTATCTTTATTTTATTAAAATTTGGAAATGCACAGATTTAATCTTTCTTTCTACTTTTTTTTTTCCTTTTTCAAATGCAATGTATAGTAATAGAAAGATAAGCACATCTTGTCCTTGTTTTTAAAACTGAATATACATTGTTTATGTAGTCAATGCAGGTTTTTTTTATTTTTATCAATGTAACTACTGTAAGAGGTTGAGATAATTTGCAATTGCACTTAAAAAGTAAAAATAGCTTTAGAAAGCTAGTGACCAAGAGCCATGAGAGACTGGGGAGTTACTCGTGTAGGTAAAAATGGCGAAAATGTAAACAAAAACACGTTGGCTTACTGTTATGCTTCACTTTGTTTAAATATGTCTCAACAAAACTATCTGTTATTTATTTTAGCCCTAGACACCGAATATTGCTGGAAGTTTTAATCAATACAAAACTTTCAAAAGTAAATGTTAGAAATAAATGCATAACCTATGAACCAGTTCATCATTAGTATTCATATAACTCATGGTTTTTGTGGTTAAACTTCAATTCCATGACAACTGATATTAAAATAAACCTTTGTTAACACTTGTAATATGTCATGGCCTTCATCGCATTATTTTCGATTCTTCTTTATGCTCAACCATTACAACTTCATTTTCTTATCAAATAATTATTTGTTTTCAAACTATGATAAATTCCACTAAACATTCGTACCTCAGGAAAACAAAATCAATAAACAAGAAGCATCAGACAATAAAGAATGTCTTAGAATTAGATTTTTGGATGGACCATGTTTTCCTTTTTGTATTTATAAATATTTACCACTTTAATCATAAAAAATCTCCACTTTAACATCTTATTAAATGAAAGAATTTGTACAATAAAAATAAAACAATTTATCTTTTATTCCCCTTTCAACCAATGTCTTATTGCAAATGGTCAAACGAGGGAATGGTTCTCTGAAATGCTTTTAGCACTCAGTGAATTCCAGCACAATTTGCACTAATCAGTCATCAATATTTACATCCGTAGCATTTGACAATCATAAATCTTATTTTTGTAGGTTAATTTAGAAAGATTCAGTTAGACTTAAATTTCTTTGTTTCTGTTACTGCTATTTTATATTCATTGTGGAAGTTTACCCTTTGATCTTAATTAGTAGTGATTTAAACTTTTTAATCCATGAGAAGAGTTCCTTCCAAAAATTAGCTATAAGAAGAGCTGTAAAGGTTTTTTAACTTTAATTGTTGGAATATAAGGTTTGAGAGAAAAGTGTTCAAGTCACAAATCAACTTGTCACTAGTCACAGTCTGTGCAGTAACATGCATAGCAGTAAATGATACTAGGAATCAACATAAACACTTTTATTATTATGTATCAATCTTACACTTTTCTGTCAGTAAAGTCTACCTGATGCTGTTTTTAAGTTAAACAGAAAACTTTGACCATTGGTTTTATAGAGGTTTTGGAAATGAGATGCATTTATATAATATACAGGATTTAATTCCCGTAAAAACGATGAAATATATGGTGGGAAAATAACGATATGTATGTCACTAAATTAATTCAAATCAAGGTTGAACATATTATCTTGCCATTGATCAAGATTGCAAGAAACCCTACATTAGCAGAAAAGGCGAAAACATGCACCTACAGAACAGGCGAAAACATGCACCTAAGATAGCAAGCCTGTATAAAAATTTCGAATTTAAGAATAATTAATAGGTCAGTAATACCTTATATTGCTGTAACCCTTGATATCCTTTCATTTTCACAATTCCTTACATAATTAGGGCTTCTGGTCGTAGAGCCCTCCATTGTGTTTGTCATCAAAATATGTAAAATTCCAAATGGATATCCTGTCAAAATGGAGAAGCTAACTCAGATTGAACATTTACATCCAACATTCTTTATCTTACTTATGATCACGAACAGAATCACTCATCTGTTTCTTTTTCCATAAAGCCATCTCATGTTGGGCTGTAGGTTCAAGAACATTTAATTCCATACACAGAATCAATTTAACTTACTTGTGAGTGACTTGCTCAGTACATAATCAACCGCTAAACAGCTAAGTTTGTTAACCCTGTAAGCTATCACAATAAAAGCTGTAGAATAGTGACAAGGTTCAAAACACAACAAATAGAGCTATCTCTTGTAACAAGAATACTTAGCATGAATATCATTTTGTAGGAAGGTGTAGAATTAGAATTACATAGGATTTCCACCCACCTGGGCGCATACCTTCAAGTGATTATGTCATGTGCATGTAACTTATATGTGTCATAAGTTCAAAACGTGGTAACAACTTCTGATACACCAAAATATTATTTGCACAGTATATGAAAACCTTAAGAAACTGTAAGAGATCATTAGGTCATCATATAATTACACCATCAGACTTCTAAGAAATTATGTTCGCAATGGTATTGAACATTCATGCTCCATCTGAACATCAGTAATATGCTGATTCAAGTTCCATTTCTTGTAGAACCTAATATAATGAGGAGGCATAAAATTGAAAATGGAAACAGAAACAGAAACTGCATACAGTACAAGAGAGTATTGTCGTTGCAGTATAATTTGTGTACACAGTAATAGCAATTTGACTGCATGTACTCCTAAGCCCTAAGCATTCCATTTTGTTCTTGTTCATAAACTCAATAGCAAATATTGTTACCAAAATATGGAAGGCCGTATGAAAACATCTTGCTAGCCCAAAGGATTGTAGCAATTTATCTATGACCTCTGAAATGAGATCAGAAGATCCATCCCTTTGAATACGAGAAACTTGGCATAAAAACATTATGGATAAAGTTGAGTCATATTCATCTTCAGAAGGCTTAAATTCCAAGAATTATGAATACTTCAACAATGCATATGCAAGATTGACACATAATTAGTACCCGGTGTTTCTTACCCATAGTTTTACATTCAGATGAGTAAGGGTTTGAACATAAACTTTTCAATAGTTGTTTACCAAATTAACAGAAAAAAAAAGGTTAACATTCTTCACTATATGTTCTGTGATTATAAAATCAACATAATTACACACCAAACCCTCCATTGTAACTAATGATATTTATGTGCATCGAGTTTGCTTCAGAGAAGCTACAAAAATAGGATGGTTTTAATTTGAGATTTCAACTTTGAAATTAAATTCAGTTTGAAAAAAACAGCATGCCTAGTGATATTCTCTGTATGATGTTCACAGAGCTTTTGTGAAATATGTGGTTGACTTCTGTTTAGCCTTGCTTGAATCGGGGAAGCTGAAAGAGTTAATATAAATTAGCAAATCCCTACATCTATAAGGCTAACTGCAGACAAAAGCTGAAATTTCGTAGTTTTTTCCTGATCCATGTAAGCCCTTCCGCCCAAAGTACATAATTTCTTTTCACCATTAAGGACTAACCAATAACATAGAAAAAGAAACTAAAAGCATAAAGCTGCCGGCGAGTGACTTCATGACTTTTGATAATACTTGTTCAATCAAACTTTAAATATTAGACAGATATAATACACGCAGGACGCAGCAAACCTGTATACGAACTTTCACTTGCCATTGGCTGCTTATCAGCAAGAATCAGTACAAACATTGTAAAATGGGAATATAGGGCAGAAAAAAGTTGCTGATAGAGAGAAGAAACACAGAACTATGAGATGATGATTACAAGGCAAAGCACACTCGAGGATTTCATTCTGATCAGATTTTACCGAAAACTAGCACAGTTATGTCGACTCTGATTGATGCACTCCTCCCAAGAATTTCCAAAGGTTTGAATGAAGCTCTACAAATCTGGACGCATAAATCACTAAACTCCATCACAAATTCAAAAGCTCTAGCGGTGATTTTAAAAGAAGAATTAAAAATTTAAAACTTACCACGGGTTCATGAAACATGTAGATAGGTTCATGGTTCCTATTGAACAAAAGTTGGAGTATCCAGTAAAGGCCCCATTAGTGTCCCAGTCTGGAGTGGAATAGGGTAGCAAGGGGCACACATTGTTGTTGAAACTTGCATCCCTAGGGATCACAAGGTTTTGGCTTTGGTTTTGGTTTTGGTTTTGGTGATGAGAAGCCATCACAGTTGACGGCTTCATATTCCTTTTAATCATAATAGATTCTTCAATGACGTCAAAGCCATCTCTGGGTGCTTCATTATGAATGAGAAAAGGGTTATAAGGCTGAACCCATCTCGCGTAAGCTTCAGGTTCAGGCAGAATGGATGACCTCAATTGGTGCAGCATTTGAGTGTTTGCAGTTACAGGGCACCTTTCATCAAAGTCTTGCTGCACCCTTCTAGTGCTACACATTTTGTAGCAAGTCCTCTCTCTTGCTCTTGCTCTTGCCCTTTCCCTTGACTCCTTTTTGGTCTGAACACAAGCATCATCCTTCTGTGCCGATTTTGACTTCCTCCCTTTGGAACCATCAACCCCACTACCCGCCAATGATTTGTTGTTATTTGAATCCACAGAAGCGTCGCGGGAACACTTGTCACCCCCACTAATACTGCCGCTATGCTTACTTTGGGCTAGTTCTTTGATCGCATTCTCAGACTTTGTGAAAAGCCACTCAAGGGTGTTACTTGGTTTGTCAAACTCTAACATGTCCTGAAGATCAAAGAACTTGCGGGCTATTTCACTTGATAATCTCACCCTACGGTCCCTCAAACCCTGAGATGTGTGAATCTTACTGTGCCTGTCTTTCTTTGCTATGGCTGGTTTCTGGGTCAGAAAATTGGACATGCTACCATTGTGGGAACCATAGTTAGTGTTTGCATCTTGTTCAAGAATGGCAGTGCAGTCAGCAACTGCAAAATTAGCAACAGTCTCTTCAGGAAATGGAGGATCATGGGTGATGGGTGTGAAGGGAACAAGAAGAGGGTCATCAAAAAGGGTGTTGCTTGCAAAATCATTTTCAGGATCAATGAGAAAAGGAAGGATAGGGTAAGAAGAAGAAGGGAAGTTTGGAAAAAGGTTGGAGTCATATGTGGAAGAGAACATCTGCAGATTGGAACCAATTTCAGTGGGTGAAAACCCTAGCTATTGTGCAACGAGTAAAAAGATCACAATTATAACACAGAGGTAGCTTCTCTGCTCCTACTTAACGGTCCAAGTACAGTCCTACTACTCTTATATAATCATTTTCTGAGATTCCCTATCTCTATCTTTGAAAGGAGACTAGCCACTAGTGCGAAGTACTACTATCATGACCATTAAAAACTTTTTTTTTTTAATTTTTAATGAGAAGTTTGTGTTGTTGAGGAAAATGAGGACAACGGAAAGGGAGATTTAGTTTACGCCAATGAAGTACTTTGATCATAGTTTCATTTATTTTGTGAATACAACTATATTATTACCAATCTGGGTTAGGGCAGATGAGAAAATATGGCTCAGCCATTACAACAGCACATCGATCAGAAGGACACAAATAATTTCTTGGTTTGTGCCAAGAACCATCCCATTCGCCAACTGTTCATGTAAACAATGTCTTAAGTTTGAATCTTACAAACAAATCAACAAAAAAACAACTCTCTTTACACTGATTACTCGTAAAATGCCAATAGATGTTTTATATTAATGTCATGATAACCCAAAAATAACATCATATTAAACATTGTCGACAATGTTGCGCAAAACATTAAGTTACAAACATAACATAAGTATTCTTTAGAGACGAATTCAATACAACATAAAAGATAGCGAAGAATGCGAGGAAGAGAAGGATGGTACGTGGAAAAAGTTGAGAAAAAGTGGTTAATGGGGGATGGTGTGGTTTGGGTTTTATATTAGATGATTCATTGAGTTTTAACTGTAGTTTTGAAAAAAAGTGAATATAGCCCTAACATTGTGGATCTAATTTTGATGGGTTTTATCCGAAAGGTAATGAAGTTTCGAAGTTGAGCCGTACAGGAAGTGTAAAGGTAGGTGAGAGATTGTAATAGCTTCTCAGCTGTTTCTTCCGTAAAAACTCAACCGCAAATATACAAACTCGTCAGGAAAAATACGGTAACATTTTCATTTTCTGAAAAAGCTGAATACAGTACAAATTGACTAAAAACTTGGCGTTCTTTTTGAAAGCGCCCACATAACTTTATTTCAATCCCGAAGAAAGCTCATTCATCTCTCTGACAGCGATTGCAACCTCCCTGGATACATAATACTCTATTTATTTTTAAATTTAAGATCATGTTCATTTTTCTTATCTAACTTTTAATTAGTTTTTATACATATTGGTATGGAAATGAAATTAATAAAAAGGAAATTTCATAACTTTTATAAAAAATAATATAAAACTTATTGTTTTTTTTTCTCAAAAACACCATAGATAACAATTATAAACAAACTAAGACTTAATTTTATATAAATTTAATTATTTTTATCCTTAAATTATTATTATTATGTATTTCAAATTTTATAAAACAAATAAAAATAATAATATTATGATCAAAATTATTCTTATTTATTTTTATTGTAAGATAAACTACACTTATTTTGATGAAATTATGTAAATTATACTTAAACTCTTGTTTTTAGTTTTAAAATTGGCATTCATTCTTTTAAATTTTAAATAAAACGAATTCTCAGAAGACAGCTATAAATACAATGATCAACTATAAATAGGAAAACAAAGAAAATGACATCAATACAACTACCATATTAGTTTAGTTATGAAAAATCTTATATAGCTTAGATTTATCGTGTCTTGGTATTTATATTAGCAAGATAGAAAAATATTGTTATATATTTCACTTTGTAAAGTCATGTCTTTGAAATAAATCGTTATATATCTTCTTATCCTGAGTTAATTTTTAAAATTTATCTTTATTTATTTATACTTAAAAGTGAAAATAATCAATATTTGATTATTGAAAATCATTAAAAGTTTCTTAAAGCAAAATTAGATATAATTCAAAAGTTAGGTTGAATCAATACAAATATATATTCTGGTTATATAAATGGTTTGATGTCACATCACCAATGTTTATGTGGAAAAAAATTATACTCTAATTGATCCTCTTTTAAGATAGTTAGTATAACTTTAAGCTGAAGAAGATATTTTAGTTGTTATAAACAAGTTTGATTTTATTATATTTATTGATAACTTTGTGTTTGTTATACAACTTTTGAGTTTTGCTAAAAAATAAACAATATATTTGTAAAAGAGAAACATTGTATTACGGTTATAACATTATCCAACATAGACTTTATTATTTTTGTACAGGTGTTTACCATAAGTGATGTATATATATATATATATAAAGTTGGTTTGAAGAAAATTCTCCAGAGTTTTGGATAGTTGATGCTTGGATTGCTTATCCAAAGCTTGGTAATGCCTGCTGTTCTTCCAATTGGAGCATACAGTTCGACCACAAGAAGCACCCAACTGCTTCTATACGGAGATCTCTCATAATATTTCACATATATTATAAAAATTTAAGATATCATAATTACTCAATTATCTTCAACTCTCAGTTTCTTAAATGTTAATATTATTTGTACTTATCAACCTTATTTAATTATAACATTAGAAAAACTCTAAATTTAAAATTTAAAAGGCTGCTACCGCTCGGGAACTCTCCTCCTCGATCGGTCCTTCTCGCTTCCGTCTTCCCTCCTGACTTTTCCTCTCTCAATGTCAAAGTGGGGTGACCTGCAGAAAATACTCCGACGATCAAGTCAGAATTCATCTTCGCAAGTCTAGTGAAATTAGTCAAAATCAGAGAGTTTACCTTCTGAATCGATTGTTATTTATATGGTTTCAAAGAATATTATCCATTAATTTACCTCTTAATGACGATCAATGCCCACTTTAACTGCTCGACAATGAACGTTACACCATTAATTACGCATTCATGATCATTCAAAAGCTGTCTTCGGCCAACGGCTGGAGAGTTCGCGGGTACTACCTTGGCGTTCGACCGGGAATGATCGGCTTCCATCCACCTTACGTGCCCGGTCGGTCTGATTGGACAATCGGTCCCAGCTACTTGTATTGACTAAGCATGCCCGATCGGTCGAACCTACTCGGTAGTAACACATCTTAAAAAGTTTAATATCATCTAAAATAAAAAGAGCGTGATACTAAGTATATAATCGACTTAAAGTTTTAGTATTTAAACACATTAGTTAAAGACACGGGGAGTGTTTTATGTATTGTAAAATTTTTCGCATATGTTATTGTTTGTCATTAAACAATGATTGTGTTTTTTTTTAAGTTTTCATGTAATATTTTTGTATTGGTTGTTTTTATCTTATTTTATCTATTCGTAAAATATAAGGTAATTATCGAGAATACATACATTAATGCTCTTCATAATGTTTTTTCTTATTAGTGATATTAGACTTTATAGTTCAATAGGATATGATTAATTTGCTATGTAATTTTAGCTTAATATGAACTTCCACATAAAAAAGATTAATTCCTTGTGAGAAAATCACCTTAGTTGCAATGTCATTTGTAAGTGTTATCACATGTGAAAGTATGAGTATTTACTAGTGGTAATTGTGCATGAACATTGGCTAATATTGATGTAGCATATGTGGTGATTATCTATGGGCATTGGTTAACATTGATATACAAGTGTACAGTAAAAAAGGAAATTCTTAGAATGATTTAATTTTAAGTGAGTTTATTCTTTTTGGTGGAGTGTGAATGATTATTGGTGTAGTAGACAATGAAAATAAAAAGGAATGTATTTATTTTAATCATGATGAAAATTATTGGATCAATAAAAGTAATATATATTGGAAAGTCTCACATCACCTAAGATAACGAAGTGAAACGTGTGAAAATAATTATATAATGGACTTAAAATCCATTATGTTTAGACACTCATATTAAAAATATTTTAAGTTTGTATTTGACTTATATTTTTGTAATAAAGTATTATGAAGTTTGGTGTAAACTATTGTTTTTGGAAAGTATGTGGTATAAAAAGACACGTGATAATGATCTACGTATTGTGAAATTTTTCACATAATATTATTTTTTATGATTCTCATTAGATAACGATTATGATTTTTTTTTTATTTTGGAGTTTTTACATTATATTCTTCTATTAATTATTTTTATTTTCTTTTTTTTATTAGTATGGTAATTCTCATAGATAATGTTTTTGTATGAAATTTTTTCCATCAGAAAACAACTCTCTCTTCTCTTTGTTCATCAACACACAATATTCATAACAAGATGAAAGCAACTCCTAAAATTTGTAGACTAACCCTATACATTATGAACTTAATGCATGACCAATTAAAAGTTTGTGTTCTATTCTTTTACTAAAGTCGACGGAAACTCGAGGTGGATCATGATGTTGAACTAATTTTTACAATTTATAAAAACAAAATAAAATTAATTAGGATCTAATATATATATATATATATATATATATATATATATATATATATATATATATATATATATAATACTTAAACTCATCACAATTAACTTCAAATAAATATCAAATTAAAGAGATAAATGGATAATAAGCCACAGTAAAGCACCTATTAGAAATAAATCTTGAAAATAAGAAGTTAAAGAACGTGGGGTACTCTTAAGTAAATGGGTAATCCAATATACAAGTATAGTTAATTAATAAAAATAAATATTGCGTTATTATTAATATTTAAGAATAATTAAGTCATTTTTTGAGAAAAATTATTGAATTTCTTTCAAATATTATTGTATTGTGAATTATGATAAAAAAAAAACTACTTTTCTAGCATCATTGGGAGTGGAACCAATTTGTGAATATTGTGAGTTTATCTCAATATTATCATATTATAGTTTAAGTTTTAAGCGTAGTATTTTATCATGAGATTTTATTTCCCTTTAAGAGAGAGTTTTATTGCGCTCCATATATTTTTTAAGATATTATAACAAGTTTAACTTTAATATTTGTATAATTTTTATTTTCATTTCAATTTTTTATAATTTTAAAAAATAATTTAATACATTAATTGAATTTTGTTTAAGGATAAAATTTTCTTGCTCTAATGTTTTTTTGAAAATAAAAGTTTACATTTAAAATGTTATTATGTCATTTGTCTATCGATTATAAATTAGGTAAAAGATCATATCATGGATTAA